CGCACACAAAGCGCCGGCCGCCCGGCCCGGCCCCGGCCCCGGCCCCGGCGGCGGCGGGAGGCTCCGGTGCCGGCGAAGTGGAGGCTCCACAACGCGGGAAGGGGAAGGACTCACCATGAAGTCCCGAGCGAAGTTGTCCTCCCCATTGTGGTCCGGACTCTTCATGGCCTGGACCCTCTGGATGAATTTCCTCAGGATCTCCACTTGCTCCATCCTCCCGCGTCCCCCCGGCTGCGGCGGCTGCTGGCCGCCCCGCCGCCGCCCGCCCGCCCGGCGCAGAGCCCGCTCCTCCGTCTTCCCCAGCTCGCTGCCCCCGGCTCGCCCTTCTCCCGCGCGGCCCCCCGCTGGCTAACCCCCCGCTGCTGCCTCCTCCTCCTCCTCCTCCTCCTCCTCCTCCTCCCCGCCGCTCCCGGCGGCCGCACCGGCCCGGCACCGACCCTACAACTTCCAGAAGCAGCCGCCGCTCTCTCCCCCAGGACGCGGCAGCTAGCGCCAGCCCCAACCCCCAGCTTGCTCCATCCTCCTTCCCCGCCCTCCGCCGCCGCCTCCTCCGTCCGAGACGCCGCCACCGCCTCAGGAACACGGCTCTCCGCTCGCCCTGCGCCGCCCCCCCCCCCCCTTTCCCGGTTCTTCCTTTTTACTCCCCCCTCCCTCCCCACGAGCAGCCGCCGCCGCCGCCGCCTCTCCCCACGGGCGCGCCCCCGGCCGCCGCCACCCAGACGCGGGGCCCCGCGTTCGTTCGGCTCCGCCCCCAAGCACGACGCCACGTCGCTCCGCCCCCGCCCGCTCCGCCTCCTGGCCCCGCCCCGCCTGCCCCAGCCGGTTTGGGATTGGCTGGAAAGGCGACCTCGCCCGTCGTCTGGACGACTTGATCCCACTTCCGGGGCGGGTTTCGACCGGGAAGCTCTGGCTGGGCGGAGAGCTGGGCGGAGGGAGGAAATGCGACTCAGGGCAGGGCAGACCCTAGTCAGCCGGGCTAAGGGATGGAATTTGCGGTCTTCCCGCCGGCTAGGTGGGAAAAGCGTATTTCTCGGGTGCTTCTGCACCGCCACCTGCCTTGGGCCGGGACTACAAGATCCGGCGGGCGGGCGGGGCGGGGCGGGGCGAGAGGGGGCGGAGGTGGGAAGAGGCATGCTGGGAACTGTAGTCCTGTCAGCTGCTGGGACTGCTGATGGCAATTAGACCTTGCTGCTTTTGCGAATGGCTACAGCCAAGAGACATGACACTGCCTCTTGAGTGCAAGGACTTGTGTTTTTTGCAGATCTAGACCCCTGGCGAGTGAATGCCTGAGATTCAAAATGCCTCCTAATACTGTACAAACACCACGCTTATGGTGGGGCCCAGTGTATGCTGAACTGAACAGGAGTTAGTCTTCTTGCCTTGACATTCGAAACACTTTGAACTGAATAGACTTTTCTCCGTTAGAATGGACTTTGTCTTTGTACATCTTTGTAAATCTAGCAATCAGAGAGTATCCTAGTCTAATCATCCATTTTACAAAGAAAGTGGTTTGCCCCAAGGTCTCCCAGCATATTCTTAGTGGAGCCAAAACATGAGAACGCATATCGTTTTTGCTCTTACTACAACACCATTCTGCCTTTCACTAAGGACTATAAACTTGTGATAATGTGACAGTAGTGAAGGATTTGATTCGTGGACATAGACCTACAAACAGTTTTTATAGATCAGATTGGTCAGTGAATTTGGTTAAAATAGGGAATATCAGTGGTAGGCCCATTTCCCAGATCAATGTTTAGAAGTAGACTGGGACTGAACTCTGGTGAACATTGAATATCTGGCTAAGGATTTGAAGTTGTTACTTTTGGCAGTGGGAGCCACCAAAATTTTTTGAGAATAGAAGCAAAATTTGCAAAATATTAATCTGTCACCTTTGGGTAGATTGTGAATTATTAAGGGAAGAGAATATGAGATATATTGAAGGCCAGTACATGAAGCAATAAAAGCTGAAACTAAATTCATAACACTGCAATTAGAAAGACACAGATAATCTCCCTTTTTTTTTTTTTTTTTTTTTGGTGGTGGGAGGCAACCAACATTTTTGGTGGTCCTGTTTTGACAAGGCTAAAAGAAAAAAAGAGAAAGATGCAGATAGCTCTAGCAAGTTTGGCTCAGTGAATAAAGCATTGGCCTGTGGACTGATCAAGGCCACATACCTCAGTTGCATGTGGGAGGCAACCAATTGGTGTGCCTCTCTCACATCAATATTTCTTTTTCTCTCTGACTCTTCCGCTTCCTAAAACTCAATGGAAAGATATCCTCTGGTGAGGATTAACCAACCCTCCTTTCCCTCCCCCACCAAAAAAAATTAGCTTTTAAAAAGATGCAGGTAGACATGAAAGAGACAGAAATCACAGAACAAGGTGACTGACTTAGTGGGCAAGAAGGAAGGTAGATGAAATTACCAGGTTGGCGGAAAGTTTAACAGACTTTAACAGTGCATGGTATGGGCAAATGGAGACCTTCATACACAGATGGTAAAAGAAATTGGTATGTGGCCTTGATCAGTCCACAGGCCAATGCTTTATTCACTGAGCACAACATTTTTAGAAACAATTTGTCAATAAGTGTGTTATGCATGCTTTGACTGAAAAATTTATAGGTAATATTTACTGTGTACAAACATAAATGCTTATTGCAGCCTTATATGTAATGGAAAGAGTGGAAACAACATACTTGCCTATCAAAAGGACACTGGTTGAAAAACAAAATCACATGTATATAATTAAGTTCTATTATACTTTTTAAAAATAAAAAAAAACAATGTTGCTGTGGAAGAGGCTATAAGATCTGTTTATTAAATGAGGAAAGCTAGATACGTGTGTGGCATTCTTCCACTTATGTACATTGGAATATGGATAAAATGCTTGAACATACATAGAATTTTTCTGAAGGATACTTCAAAATCTTACCTGTAGTCACCCCTAGGAGGGCCTTGAAAATCTTTAGTAGAAAAGAAACAACTTTTACTGTGTGTGTTACTTTTACAACAAAATTAAATCAATTTATTTTAAACATGTTTAGACTTTGAATAGGGGTGAGAAAAAGAATGCCAGTATCTTTCATAGAAATATACAAATAAAAGAAAAAAGACAGATGTTATTTGGCAATTTTTTTTTTTTTAATGGCACAGGCTTAGTTTCAGAATTCGCACCTACTTATACTACAGTTCTCAAGGAACTTGGCCGTCCTGCTCAGCCTTAGCCACAGCCTAGGGTTTGGTCACTTGACCAAGTTAACCAATCTATGCAGACTGGCCAGCAATCCATTGCCTAGAGTAGAAGCATGATCTGATCCAATCAGTTCTCTCTAGAATGTGAACTAGGACACCTAGAGAAAGTAAGTCATTAAGGTGCAAGGGCAAAAGCCGAATGCCGTGGAGTAGAGTTGGGGATTTGGCAGGCTGAAGCCTTGTGGGAGAGTAGAAAGTGTAAAGAATCTGGTTAGTCAGGAAAGGAGTGTTAAGCAGGCATGCAGAGATATGTAGAGATGTCATGATAGTAACCCATGTAGCCATGGCAGAGATGGGGAGAATCCCAGGAACAGCTTGACTTCCTCATAACTTCCAGGACAGGTTTGGTTGACATTTTTTATTCCACAAATAAATTTTGATTTTCTTGAAACAAAATAGGGCAATAATAAAGAGCACGGGCTCTGATGTGAGAGCGATTCAAACACCCACTTCATTTCTTATTCCGGGAAAGTTTTTTCACTTCTCTAAGCCTCAGTTTCATCTTCTAGGAAAGCTGCCTGGTGCTGTCTTGAGGTGTGTTTCAGAATTAGTGTATTTGTATCTTGCCTCTTTTTAGGCTCATTCCCTACACACAAATCACCTGCATTCTGGGTAAATACACGAGGGCTGAGAAGAAAGCCAAATACCATTTTCAAAAATCTCTCTTCTTAGATCTTTTGTGAAGGTTTGAGTGGGTGTTTAAAGCTAATAATCAAAAAGAGGTTTCGGAATTACCCACCTGTTTCATATTCACAATGTCCCTTTCTCCTCGAGCTCAGATAAAAGTAATGCTTTATATCTATATAAAGAATGAATTTAACTTTTGGAGTATTTTCACATCTATTCTCTCATAAAAGCTACCTTTTTTACAGTTTATATGGCATTACAACTCTTTGTGAGTTCTATTTTTTTTATTTTATTTTTTTTATTTTTTTTTTTAACAACCTTGGGAAGTAATTTGGCCAGTTCACTTGTAAAAAAACAGATGTCAGTCTCATGGCCAGAACCCACAGGTCTTGAGTTTCCAGCTTGTTGCATAAACCACTGAGTCACAATGCTTTTATACCTGTTGTAATTTAAGTGAAACTACAGATGAGGATTCAAATCTGAGATTCTCCCAACGTAACATTTCTAATATTAACTTGTCATTTCATTCTACACCCCTCAGCACTCTCTATACTCCCAAATTAGACTCCTAGCTGGGAAGTTATGGGAGAGTGAATAAGAAAGAAGGGAGGGAGATTCTTCTCTAGTTTATTCTTGGTATCCCTTACTCCCTCATTCCTAGACCTAGTCATAGCAAAAAAAGCTGTTGACCAATTGTTAATTGTGAGTTTATTATTGAAATGTGTTATTCAATAGATAGGGACTCGGGGAATAAAGGAACACAACTTTTTCGTCAGGAGAAAGGTATATAACATGGAGAGGAGGTTGGAAAAGATTAACTATAGCACTATGTATTTCTCAAGCTAATATTTCAGAGATTTTTCATGTGATACTCTCTGTTTATTCTCATAACTAAAGTAGGTGGACCAGGTATTATCTCCACCTTTATGCATTAGAATTTTAGTTGGGATAATAATGCCTAAATTTAAGGAAATGAAAAGATTAACAAAGGTCATACAGAGGGCAAAGCTGGAACCAAAACCCATGAGGCTCTCCACTCAATGAAAACTTAAGGGTTGCACAACAAAGGCTAAATGCTAAAGTGTAATAATAAATACTAACTGCAGAAGAATATGGTCATTACATCTACACTCTTCTCTAAATTTTCTATCTCATGTTCCCTATGCTGTTTCATTTAATATTCAAAGAAAAAAATTAATATTTTAAAAATAATTTCAAAGTCAAGTACTACCTGAGCATTTAATTAGTGATTCTTCAACCTGATGACATTTAGTTTCTGTATTCAGGACTGGATCATTAACAAGGGCTGTGAAACATGATTGCACATATAATTCATTCAGTTTATTGATTGAGCTCAAGCTCAACTATCATCAAAATGCTCCAGGAGAAAACAAGCAATTTCATTCAGTAACTGCTAATATTTTAGATTAAAAATAAATTGTAGGTAAAAACAAATACTGTATGATCTCACTTATATGTGAAAACTGAAAAAAGAAACTCATAGAAAAATATATTAGACTTGGGTAGGAAGAGGCAGAATTGGAGAAAGGAGGTCAAAAGGTATAAATAAACTTCTAATTAAAAGATAAATAAGTACTAAAGGTGTAATGTACATCATGACGACTATAGCTAACATTGCTGTATGATTTATAAGGAAGTTTTTAAAAGAGTAGATTCTAAGAATTCTCATAAGAAGAGAAAAAATTTTTCTTATTTATTTTATTGGGATGATGGATGTTAGCTGAACCTACAGGTTTGGGCAAAAATAGGTTTATAGTTTTGAGTACACCAAATAGAGTTTATTCTTGTATTATTATTATTATTAATTTTTGTATTATTTTTCATACAAATAACTGTAAACCTCCTTTTGCAGCACCCTGAATTGTGGTAATAATTTCATAATACATATAAGTCACACCATCATGCTGTGCACCTTAAATTTACACAGTAATATATGTCTGTTATTTCTGGAGAAAAATAAAATTGTGATTCCACTTATACAAGATATCTAAAGTAGTCAATTCATAGAAACATAAAGTAGAATGGTGGTTACCAGGGGCTGGGGAGAAAGCGTAGTTATTGTTTAATGGGTATAGGTTTTCAGTCTTGCAAGATAGAAAAGTTCTGGAGATCTGTTTCATAACAATGTGAATATACTTAACATTGTTGGACTACATACGTAAAATTAGTTAAGAAGGCAAATTTTGTATTTTTACCACAATATAAGTAAATAAGTTATATTGCTTGGGATGATTAAAAAAAAAAAAAAGTACTCCAGATGGATAGTGGTGATGGTTGCACAACAATGTGAATGGACTTAATGTCACTGAACTGTGTGTACTTAAACATGGTTACCTGGCTGTAGTGGCTCAATTGGTTGAGTGTCACTGGAGGGTTGCCAGTTGAATGTTGTTGTTGTTTTTCTCTCTCTCCACTTCCCTCTCTCTAAGTATGCCCTCAGGTGTTGATGATTTTTTTTTTAATATTAAAATGGTAAAAAATATATTAGGTATATCTTATCACAGTTAAAAAAAACACACACCTGTATTTAAACTACCAATGTGATTTTAGCTTTTTATCCCATTCACTATTCTGTAAAGAAACAACTTTCCATTCTTCTATGTAGGCCACTATAAAGCCAAGTCAAACATAATCAATATTGTTAGGGAGATATTCAGACCTAAAATCTATAGAGGGAGATTTTATTTCCAAGACTTATCATCACATTGTGCAAAAAAATATTTTAATGCCATGAATTCCACAAGGCACATTACTTTCATATGTTTCATTCGGTGGAATTATTAGATAATTACCTTGCCTCATCAGTGACTATCACATTTCAAGATGTCCATTTTGTAGACATATTCAAGTTTATCCTGTAGTTGAAAATGTATTTAAAGTCATTTACTGTGAATAGCTAGCTGCTCATTTTTCTTAAGTTTCAACTAATAAGCATACAAAGTTTTAAATTTATTTTTAAATTTCCTTTTAATATGCTCTACTAGTTACTTAAAAAATTTATTGATTGATTCTTGAGAGAAAAAGAGAAACATTGACTTGTTGTTCCACTTATTTATTTATTCATTGGTTGATTCTTGTATGAACCTGTAATTTTGGTGTTTGGGACAATACTCTAATCAACTGTGCTACCCCGCTAGGGTTAACAACAACAAAACTTTAAGGATAATTTATTGTAAACTTTAAGGCATTTATTTCCTTCTTTCTCAAAGAAATAGTTATGTAATTCACCAAGGCAACTGTTATCTACCCTCTTCTTATCAATTTTTAAGTAGTTCCATTATTTCAAAATTTTAGTGAAATATTTGCTATTATCTTTCCTTAATAGTCACTTATCTCCTGAGATCTTTCATTTCCTTTTCCTATTTGAATGTTTGATATTTAATGTTTCCTCAATAGATTTCGATCTGCTCTTTCTCCAATTATCCCTGACTAATCTTTCTGTTGCACATTACATAAAGACTATTTTAAGTATATTCATAATAAGTCACGAATCCAGTATCATGTGTCCTACAGATAGTACTATGCAGTCATTTTATTTCTGATTAACAATTTGTGGGACAATATTAATTATACAGTGCTTTGAACTATTAGCTTTTTCACTTGTGGATTTGTGTGGAATGGGGCTGGGGAAGATATTTATGATTTCCACTAAAGCCCTCACAGCTCAGGCAGCCTTGTTATTCATTCCTGGTGAACTCCCGTGACTCCTCAAGCCCTACCCCCTGCTTCCTCATTCCTAGAGAAAATAGGAGTTATCAAGTGTCAACTCAGTCACTTCTCTTTCCGAGTGAAATTTGGAAATCATAGACTTATCTCTATACTTATTTGTTTCTCTCCAATGTTAATATTTGTAACCCTTTCTGAGGCTAACCCCTCTGTATCCTCTTTTATATCTTTCTAGTCTTGCTATACAAATATCTCCTCTCCTATATCTATCTGCAATCTTTCCCTCTCCACTGACTCTCATATATATATACATTTTTAAATTGGTTTTTTACAGAGAGCAAGAGAGAGAGATAGAGAGCTAGAAACATCTATGAGAGAGAGACATCGACCAGCTGCCTCCTGCACATCCCCTACCAGGGATGTGCCTGCAACCAAATTACATGCCCTTGACCGAAATCAAACCCGGGACCCTTCAGTACACAGGCCGACGCTCTATCCACTGAGCCAAACCGGTTTCGGCTCCACTGACTCTCCTTACCCTACAAAATGCTTCAAGACTCCCTTAAGCCATTGCACAGAGCTGTCTATTGCAACCCATAACAATCTGGCTACTGGCACACTTCTCCTAAAAGGGCCTGCCAGGTCTAATGACATCGTAATTTACATCCTTCTCTACTTCTCTGTGGTATTTGACCCTTTTCAATAAATACCACTCCTTAAATTTTCCCCTTTCTTAGATTTAGTTTTAACTGGAAGTGAACTTGACATAACATAAAATTACCCATTTTAAAATGAACAATTCAGAGGCATTTGGTACATTCAGAATGTTATACAGCCACCACCTCACCTCTATCAATCTAGAACATCTCCATGACTCCAAAAGGAGAGCCCATACACAGTAAACAGTTGCTCCCTGTACCTCCATCCTCCCAACTCCTGGCAACCACCAGCCTGCTCTGTCTCTATGGATTGACCTATTTTGGATATTTCACATAAATGGAACCAAACAATATGCCCTCTTGTGTCTGGCCTCTTTCACTTAGTGTAGTTTTATTTCGAATCCCAGTATTTTGTCATATTTACCTTAGATTTTATTTAAGTAACGAAACATTACAGAGAGAATCAAGATGCCTTTGTAGTCCTACACCCATTCAACAATAACTTCCCTTTTTAATCTTTTTATTATGGAAAATTTTTAATTTATAAAAGAGAATAGTGAAGTGAATCACCATTACTCATTAATCAACTTCAACAATTATCAACATAGGGCCATTCTTGTTTCATCTAAATTCCTTATACTCCCTCTCCGCACTGGATTGTTTTGAAGCAACCCCAGAAATAATTTCATTCACAAATACTTTTCTGATATTTTTAAGGGAAGTATTTGAACATTAAGTATAAACTTTATAGTGTGCCTGGGGTAAACTATCCAGATCTTCAATTAACTGCCCTCCAGTTTTAAAAGTATAGGAAAATCATAAGAAATCATCTGCAATCTCAGATCTTAAAAAATTCATATTAGTAAATTCTAGTTTTAAAACAAATCCAGCATAATCTCCTAAATTTCTGTACTTACAAAGGCTCTCAAGTGACAAACTAATGTTCCTTACACTGAGCTTAAGGTATTACAAGATCTGAATTATCAAAGAAATGGCCAAGGTAAAATATGTTACTTAGGCAAGAAATATACTTTCTGAGGTAAAGTTTTTAAAAAAACATTTTTGCTGAATTTCACATTTCATCAGAAAATAATGTCTTACTATATTAGATATAAAATGACACAACTAGCCAAAACCGGTTTGGCTCAGTGGATAGAGCGTCGGCCTGCGGACTGGGGGGTCCCGGGTTCGATTGTGGTCAGGGACATGTACATTGGTTGCGGGCACATCCCCAGCAGGGGGTGTGCAGGAGGCGGCTGGTCGATGTTTCTCTCTCATTGACGACGTTTCTAGCTCTCTATCCCTCTCCCTTCCCCTCTGTAAAAAATCAATAAAATATATTAAAACAAACAAACAAACAAACTAGTGCATGCACATTCAACATTATTAAAAAAATGACACAACTAGAGCCCCAAAGTGGTTTTTAGTTACACTGAATAATGAATGAGTGTTATATGAATATTGTTAAGAATAATGGAAATTACTACTCTTTACTTCTTTGAATCTAAGTTTTTTAGCACCTTCTGTTTTCTACATGTTCTTAGGGGTGGTGGTGGAAGGGGTTTGTTTGGAATTTCAAACATCTTTTCCGATACATTTGATGATTATCACTTTGCTACCCCCTAGATCTAGCCACTATCATCTCTCATCGCCTTTTATGATAATTAGTCTTCTAACTGGTCTCTCTGCATTGGCCTTGGCCTGCGTCTGCCCCAAAGGTCAGAACAGACTTTTTAAAACATGTCAGATCCTATTATTCTTCTGTTCAAAGCACTCTAGTGGCTTCCCA